AATATTTTGGAAAAACAAATTTCAGAGTCACGAGTCAAAGAGGTTTGACGATAATGATTTGTTGTGATGGAAATTCTGACAATAAGAAAACCACGAATATTGTATATAAAGAAGTATTTAATAATATTTAGATTCGTTTTTTCAAATTATTTTTTTTTTTGTATGTATTTTATTTTATTTTATATTTTTAATTACTTTATCTTTTATTATATTATTTTTCGTGCAAATGCACAAGGTAAAACTAGTTTCTCGTTAATTTTCCGCTTGGCCATTAAAAGTTAGGGGGGTGTATTCAATTCGGAATTTAAGTGACATTTTAAGACTTTTCGAGATTTGAGACTTTCTAGGATTTTCAGATTTTGGAAGAATTCTATGAAATCTCAAGTCCGGAGGTAAGATTTGAAGTGGGATTTCATATAAGGTTTTTTGTTTAGAAATCCCACTAAATCTTAAAAAGTCTTAATAAATCCTAGTGTCAAAAAAATTAAATACCTCAGGATTTTGTAAGACTTTTGAAAATCCCAATTGAATACCCCAGGATTTTTAAAAGTTTTAAAAAGTCTTAACAAATCTAAATTGAATACACCAAGATTTCTAAAGTCTTAAAAAATCCTTAAAAATCCTAATTAAATACATCCCTTGTAGATCTAATCAAATAGATGATATGATCATGTGCGTAAATGCTAGTTCTACCATTACGACACGCATATATATTTTGAATTGTAATAAATGTAACAAATTATTATTTTTAATAATGTGTCCGAACTTGAGGAGGAAGATGGTTTGAAATTTAAAATTAGTGCCTATCATGCACGAAAAGAAAATAAAGTATTAAACAATCTAATCACAGTGGATTTGATAAATTATCTGAAAACTATCAAGCAAAAAAGATTAAATAGCTAGAACATAAAAGAGAAATATGAGAAGGTTTAGGGCATCGGAAATAATCTCATCAAGTCCTAAATCTATATTAAATGTGTATTTGTTCGGTTAAGTGATTCGACAAGCTTGCACGTGTAGAGGTCTATGATCAATAACTATCCGTAACAAGAGCTAACACATAGACAACAAACTCGTTTAATCAAATAACACATAGACAACAGTTTTACGAACAAGTCTACCCTATGCACGCTGTGGCTGAACAATCTATCCCCTTCCGATTATTAGAATATTTAAATGAACTAGACGGTGATCAGTCCACTAATTCTATTATATATTCAACACACACTAGTTGAACAATCACACATTTAACCAAGATCAAAACAATAATTTAAGTCCTTAGACCTAAGATGAATTATCGAATGAAAGAAAATCATCATCAATCAAAAATAATAATTGGAAATACAGACTTACAATCAATTAGAGATTTGCAAGAATTCAGTCCCAACACTGTGTATCCAAAGAATCCAAACGTAAGAGAAATGAAAAAATGGAGAAATTCCTAAAAGAACTTTTTTTCTTGTTTCCGAGCCTTTGAATTGGTCCTGAACTGTTCTTCATGTGTCTGAATATGTCCAAAATATTTAATATGGGCGGCTATTTAAACAAGTTCGAAACGGGACAGAAAAATCGTCCAGGTATGTGTAAGTAAAGTCCGTCCGTCGCAGCATGACTATCTTCGCGTCGTTAAGGCTATCGGCTTGACTTGTTTGATAAACTAGCTGAGCTCGAGCTCACTTAAAATTCATTTCGTTAACGAATCAGACTCAACTTAGCTCAGCTCGATAATACTCGAAAAGAGAATTTTTATATAATTTATATAGTTCGGCCCATTAAAACTCGAGATCTGCTTGTTTATGCTTGAACTCGACTCATTAATATTGATAAACGAGCCAAACTCAAGCTTGATTACCCTGATTTCGAGCTCGCACACCCAGAGCTCTAGCTCGGATATGTAAGAAACTCGACGGAGAGTGGTGCTGAATTGACAATTTTTCATGTGTTATTCTATTACTTAAAAAAAGGATTACAAAGAACTTAATTAAGGCCTACAAATCAAGATTACAGGAAGTTATATATAAAAAAAGAGAGGTACTGCAAATTTCGTCCCGTAGGGTTGGGCCCATTGTAAAGTTAATCATATTCGGTGAAAATTCAGTCTTTAACTTATTTTCGTTGTGAAGTAGTCTCAAAGACGTCTTTATTAATGAGGGTGTCACATGCGAGTCACGTGACCGTTGGCCGTTAAGTTAAAAAAGAGAAAATTGCAAATTTAGTCCCATAAGATTGACCGTGTTGCAAATTTAGTCTCAAATATTGAAAAAATAGTTTTTTACTATTTTTTGTTGCAATTTTTATTCTGTGAGTATATAACAATATTTGATAGTAAAAATTTAGTTTTAAGACAAAAAAAAAAAATTACTGTACAATGTTGTCTATATTTCAAACTATTTTCAATTAAATAATAATTATATTCAAAAAATAATTATTTAATTTTATTAGAATTATAGAATAAAATTAGAAAAATAATATCAACTACTATATTGTTTTGAAAACTTGGTCAAACTTGTTGTTGAATCGAGAATCAGTCAACTAAATGGTTTGATTCCTTTGAACGAACTGGTTTCTAATCAACCGGTCAGATTGTTGATCGGGCTAGGCAATTATATATTTTTTAAAAAAGTTAATAAATATTTATATATTTTTTAATATATCAAATATATTTAAATTTATAGTATTATTATTATATTAAAAAAATTAATTACAATACAATATTTTCTATATTTCAAATATTTTTAATTAAATAATAAATATATTTAGAAATTAATTGTTCAATTTTATTAGAATTATAGTGGTTGATGAAAAATAAAAATATAAATATAGAAGCTAATAAAATTTTGAAAAATAAAAATAAAACTAATATCAACTACAATTGTTTTGAAAATTGGGTCAAACTGGTTGTTGAATCGAGAATCAATCAACTAAATGATTGGATTCCTTTGAACGAACTGGTTTTCTATGAACCGGTCAGAGTTGGTATCAGATTGTTCAATTATTTTTTAACAATGTTATCCCAGGGTCCAAGTTTTACCCAATCCTTAGGCATGGCTTAGGCCAAGAAAAGGAACTCCTTGACTGACCATACTTTAGAAGCGAAGCGCAGCATTACTGTTTCATCAACGTAGAAGAAACATACTTTCTTTCAACAATGTTCACTACCATTTTATTTTATAATATAATAATAATAATAATAATATAATATAATATAAATTTAAATATATTTGAATTTACATATATCAAATATATTTAATTTTATATTTATATTAAAGAATATATAAATATTTATTAACTTATTAAAAAAATATATAATTGACCAGTCCGTTCAACCAATTTCGACCGGTTTATTGGAAACCAGTTCGATCAAGGGAATCTAACCATTTAGTTGACCGATAAATTACCAGTCCGTTCAACCAATTCTGACCGGTTCATTGGAAACCAGTTCGATCAAGGGAATCTAACCATTTACTTGACCGATTCTCGTTTCAACGACCAGTTTGGCCCAGTTTTCAAAACAATAGTAGTTGATATTATTTTATTATTATTTTTTAAATATTATTAACCTCTACAATTTTATATTTATAATAAAAATAAATAATTTTTTAAATATATTTATTATTTAAATTAAAATAATTTGATATATAGAAAACATTGTATAATAATTAATCTTTTTCTCTCTTTTTTACTACTAAAGATTGTCATATTCACGACATAATTGCATCAAAAGATAGTAAATAACAATTTTTTAAACATTTAGGATTACATTTGCAATACAGTCAATTTTACGGGATTAAATTTACAATTTTCTTCTTTTTCAACCTAACATGACTCGCATGTGACACCCCCGTTACATTGATGACTTTGAGATTAACGAAAAAAAAAGTTAAGGAATGAATTTCTACCGGGTAGGACTAATTTTGCAACAGACCCAATCTTACGTGACGAAATTTGTAATTTTCTCTAAAAAAAAGATTTGTATTTGCGGCTAATAGCGTAAAATTGTATGTTTTTTTCAAAAACAGTTGTTTTCAGAAACAAAAATAACATATACTTTAGTATTTTTATTTATCCATCTTAATGATGTTGGGGAATTTACGTGGAACTCAAAACACTATTCTTCCGTAATTCTATTCTAAATTCATGCATGTTCTCAATTTTCATGACGATAGGTAATCTTGTTTTAGATTAGCGTACTATAAACATGTAATTTTACATGAATTTATAATAACAATTTTTAATATTATTTATCCATACTTCGCACGAGGTATATACTAGTTACATAAAAAATTAGATTTGATATTTAAATTAAGTNATTGTGAGCGACGAGGGGAGCCGAGTGATGAGGAGGGGGCGGCTGATTTTTGTGCAAAAAAAATTCCTTTTTATTTAATAAAAGGGCATGATTGTATTTTTGGAGACGGTAGGGAGTAAAATGGGAGCGGTATTTAGCGATTCAGTATTTAAATTTATGTAACTCATTGATACTAATTTTGCTTTTTTCAAAGTAGCCGTCATCAATCTTTTTATTTAAAAAGTTAGATAGTAATCATTTTATTTTTCAAATACAATATCAATATCAAATTGGTATTCACCAAAAGATAATATTTTATATAATGCAAGATGTCAAGTGAAGAGATGATTAGTTTAGTGTATTATGTGTGAATAAATGATACCAAAGTAATTAAGTTGATCATTTCATTTTGTAATTTCGAAAACCTTTATAACTATGGGTGAAAGTCGAGATTTCTTTAACTACTCTGAAATAAAAACAACCAATAAATGAATAATTAATTGACACATAAAATTTTAAAGCACACAAAAATTAATATTTCGACTCATAAAACTCTTCCACGTGTGCATTTATATATAAAGATTGATTATTAACTAAACAATATACTTGTGCTTTTTCCTCAAANAAAAAGCCTTACTTTTGGCACAAAATTTGTGTATGTACCTATATATAGGGAGTTGTATGAAAGACCAACTTCTCTCTAACTCTTTGTTGTCTTCTATATTTCATCGCCATCTTATATTCTAACATAACCTTCTTATTCTCTCAACTTACTCCATAAATCCTACTCCCTGAATTTCGTCACCATTCATAATTTTATCGAATTCTCATTAAGTTTTTCCTTTTTATGTTACTACAAATTTTGTCCAAATGTTCTCAGCCTCTTCTTCTTCTTCTTCCCATGCTCTTTACACCACCTTCATTTTCCTCTTCCTTGCCAATGGTACAATTCTTGAAATTGTTACATATTTTACACACATTGCTCAAATTAATAATAATAATTCAAAAAAAGGAAAAATCAGCAACCAAAATCTTGTTATGAATTTATTATTGGGCATTCTTAAATTAAATACTTTTAAAATTAGTCAATATTTTTTATGTTCTTTCGCAGATAGTTTCGGAACCACGTTTACACTAGTGAACAAGTGCGAGTACACAATCTGGCCCGGAATCCTATCCAACTCCGGCGTCTCGGGCCTCGGCACCACGGGCTTCGAGCTCGGCCCGCACGACTCCAGATCCTTCCAGGCCCAACCGGGCTGGTCGGGCCGGTTTTGGGCCCGAACCGGCTGCTCGTTTGACCCCTCCACCGGGCAGGGCCAGTGTCTGACCGGCGACTGCGGATCGGGCCAGGTCGAGTGCGGCGGATCTGGGGCGGCTCCGCCGGCCACCCTGGCGGAATTCACGGTGGGCTCCGGCGGGCCGGACTTCTACGACGTGAGCCTGGTCGACGGGTACAACCTGCCGGTGGTGGTGGAGCCGGAGGGCGGGTCGGGCCAGTGCGGGCTGACCGGGTGCGCGGCCGATTTGGGCCGGTCCTGCCCGGAGGAGCTGCGGGCGGGCGGCGGGCGGGGTTGCCGGAGCGCGTGCGAGGCGTTTGGGTCGCCGGAGTACTGCTGCCGGGGGGAGTACGGGTCGCCGGAGACGTGCCGGCCGACGGCGTACTCGGAGGCGTTCAAGAGCGCGTGCCCGAGAGCGTACAGCTACGCGTATGATGACGCGTCGAGTACTTTCACGTGTAGCGGGGCGGACTATACCATTGTGTTCTGCCCCTCGCGCACTAGGTAAATTTTTAGGTGTAAGTAGTAAATATAATAACCTCTTTTTTGTTTTTTCTTTATTTACTTTATTTGAAAAGGTAATTTATTAGTTGATTAATTGAGTGGAAGAAAATGTGATGTGGTTTGAACATTTTGTTTTGTTGTTTTTGGTT